GCTGTTAACTCCTTTGCAGCTCTACAGTCGTTAGCTCTCACCTAGAATGCGAACCTCAAAACCGGCTCCCTACTTATCTGTCATTTTTCCTTCAGCGAGGCCTATCCAGACGTTGACGATCAGGAATAATTGCAGGTCATACCACTTGACTGATCCTGTAGTATCGGGAAAATAAATATCTTTCTTCTGCATTCCATTGCGCAACGCCAGGAAATTTACATGAAGCTCGCAGAGTGGGATACTAACGATACGGACGGTTCTGTTAATTAACGGTATCTGCAGATTTTCCGAGAAACATATAGTGATCGAAATTTTGCTGACAACCGAGGCTCATAAGTAAAAACTTTAGTTTGAGTTTTTTTAAGTTTCTCAGAAATTACTGCGTTTACCTGGAGAAAATTATTCGGTTTGTAACTGGTCGATTTGTCCTCAAACTGTTTTGTCAGAGAGAAAAGGCTGGTCACTCTTGCCCACTTCAGTGCATCTGATCCAGCAACACCCTATTCGATGTGTGAACGCGCTGCTAAAAATTGAAGTTATCGGTCATTACTGAATTGGAACCATCTGTGATAACTCAAAACTTCCCTGCCGTAGTATAATTTCAGGCGCAGCCCACCTGAAACCTCGCTATACTTCATTCGATAAAGCTGGTCGTATTTCGGCCTGCCACGTTTAGTGATACGCCTCCTGTTAAAGTGTTCCAAATAATTTAACTCATTCCAAAGGAACCAATTGATCTCAAAGGGCTAAGTTATTATCAGTTATTAGCATCTATGTCTGCCGTGAGGCTGCCCAGCCATCCACGTCCTTTGTACTGTTGTTTTGGTCAAAATCCTGTTACAGTGTATGCTGTGGACCAGAAGGTCTGGAGTAGAGCCCCAAGGTGTGAGTTCGGCCACGCTATCCGTCTGCGCCCTCCCCGCCTCCGTTTTTCTTGAATCTGTCTTGACAGGAGGTCCAGGTGGGGAGGAGGATAGAATGCGGTAAATGCTGCGTAAGTGTGTTCTCACCATAAACTAATTCACGCGCAAGTCGCTGTGCCTGCTTCACCTTGCTGTGGAGCACGCGGTGGATCTCGTCTGATGCGACGGTCGAACAATAATTTGTCGTGGGAATTCATAGGCTTCGTCCGAAAGCTGATACAAATATTTGAGCCAAAATCTATCAGCCTCATAATTCTGAAGGACTCACCCCCAGTTAGCGTCTTAGTTTCTGAGGAGGTTCAAAAATCGAAATTGTGAAACTGAATGATCTACCAGGAAGCACACGGGGTGTGCTGGGTGGCCCACCGATGATGAGACAAGCCCCGAGCCGCTGCGTCATGCAATAGCAGAATATCAAGGAAACGTGTAGGTGGGCTTTTAGCCTATATGGTAAATTATGTAGCATGAGTAGACTACTGGCTATTGCACGTTTCTGTGCGATCTGTCACTGATACCGATCGTTTCTACCAATCTCCCTCATCCTTGTCAGTAACAACATCCTACTGATCGTTTATTTTACGGCAGATTTGTAATTATGGAGAACTTTCCGAGTTCCCCGTTATGTCCCACATTCCGAACAACCGGCATTTGGGCCTAATTATACACGCCTACTAACGAGGGGCTACATTCTTTCTTACTATCAGAATTATTTCTATGACAATGTCCGTCGGCAAGGTCACTTCCGGTTTCGCTTAAGTTTACACACCCCAATCAGTCCCTTTAGGTTGCGTAAGCCAGGCTCATAAAAAACGCACAGACGGCACCCTACTTGTATATGTTGACGTTTCACAGCCAGTTTGTAAGATTAATTCATACGAGCCCGCGTTTTGCCTATCACAAATAGTCTTTGGCCCTCGTGCATTTAGGACCCGTCCTTGTTCACAGCCTTATGAATAGGAATGAACAGAAAAAATTTCACTAGTAAAGGCTTTAGAACGTGAAAATCACCGAAACCGGGATACAGGCGATCTCAAACGGAACAGAACCGCTGAAACTCCCTGCAGAAACGTCATAGTCCCCTAGCCTGTGTTGAAGTAATTTCTGACTTTTGCGTTTGGCCGCATTTTCCTGCAGAATAGTATTTTTGTAAGCGATCTGATCCTACCGGTACGCATAAGCGTGGTTGTCAGTAGGGATGTGCAGAAGTCCTGCGGCCTAAAACTCTCTCACGAGATCTGTAAGGAGGTGTTAACGCCTGCAACACGCTTGTGATGTCGTGCTGTTTGACATGCTTGTTGGACGTGAAGTTGGCTATTCTTCGCGTGGCCGTCACTGAGGTTTTTCTACTTCAGGTCAAAGAGCTCCGAAGACAGCGTAAAGTACCGTCTGATTTTCACAGGGCTCCAATCCCTGACGTAGAATTTTTATGTTCTCGCGTTTCTTGTTAACCCTTCTGCTGTCTCCGTTTCTTATTATTTTTCCTCAAATATCGTTGACCGATACGTTTTACCAATCGAGTAGTTTATTGCGTCGAATTCTTCAGTGTGAGAATCAGTCGCTCCAGTTGAATTTCTTAGCAAGGCCGAAGGGGGTTCGACTGTTCCTCCATGAATGTTTATTAGTCTGGTCTTGTCCTCACCGCCCAAACATTAACAGAACGAAATATGGCCGAGAAATGTGTTAAATAGAACAGAAGTTTCTTCAGCAGGACCAATTTTCGCTCATGAGGTTCTTTCGTCTTTCCTTCTGCCGTAGTACGGTCTGATTTAACTTTTGATTTTCTGTTACTCCTTGCGTAGTGTCTAGAAAAGGACTTTCCTATAATCCATTTTTACCTCGCAAGCAGGAAAATACCTCTGTGCTCAGTAGTTACCCCGGATAGACCGCCTACCGAATAGATATTACAGCGTAAAAGTAAAGCTCTAAATCCATCGCCCAAAACTGGTTTTCAACAGTTCGCCAATCATTTTGGGCTAGTAAATCGTAAACAGCCCAGTCTAGGGCATTCGCTGTAAGCTAGACTTGATATATGGGGTTATTTCGTTTTTGAACTCACTGTACAGTTTTGTCTTTACTTATTTTGGTTGCGGAGTCAGTTACTTAGGAGAATTCAGGTATTCAACCGATCCGTCGACGAACGATTATAGTCTTTGCAAACAATAAAATGAGCAACAAGCCATAGTTTTGGGATTATATCAAGTTGTCCAAGGAAATTTTCCGGACGCTACAAAAGCCTTCACAGACGAACTTGCATGTGACCGAAGCTCAGGGGTTTCAGCGTTAGTTTGCGAATTTGCCTGCGGCTGAAGAACCTGCGTGCAATTCTCCAACACTTCCAGCATGGGGACAACGCAGTCTGTTCGAATATGACAACAACACCAGATTAGGCATTTCCAGCTTCTCGTTACTTGTAAGAGCCCACGTGTTGTTAGGTTACGCAAAGTGCTACTGTCTGGGATTTATCGATACAGAATTGCGCTCAGGACTTAAAATACCTCGAAAAGTTCTTCGAGTAGTATGTGACCTAAATAATTCAGCCGAATGGTCTATCCTTCAAGTCAATTCTGTCGATATGAATCATCTTCCTTTTTGTATGAAAACCGGTTAATGTGTGGGACACTTTTACATCAAACTACAACAGTGACACATGCGTTTGACGCGGTATATGGAGTCCTAAGGGACATGGTTGATTAAAATTAACTCAGTAAATTCAGAGGCTACAGCGATTCCAGTCTTACTTCTTTTCACCGGATTATTATCGCAAAAATGAATGGGACTCGCATTCGCACTGCCATAGCATGATTTTTCGACTCGTCCTTTTTGATTACTTTTCTCTACCTCGAGTGAAACCCCTGACTTTAAACCACTTAGTCACTTATTGGCTCGCGCCTATCTGTAAAAGTTTATGCCTGGACTTCTTTTGGCAAAAAATCGCCCCGGAATTCCGCTGGACAAACAAGAATACGCAGACTCTTACGGATTCATGCCTTTACTCGACACTGAATATGCTAACACAACCCTGACTGCGCATATCAGAAACCGCAAGGAGGACTCTGGTAGGCAAAAGACAGAGCCGTCATTCAGTACCCAACCAAGCATGTTACTTTCAAACTTTTTTCGCAAAAATACAAGATTTGAAAGGATTTTCGAGAAGCAGCCTATTATGAAATACGTCATGTCCAGTGAATAAATGTTGCCTGATCCGATCTATAAATACCTTTCACGCATTACTAAATGAAGAATGGGATGGTGATTTCATTTTAGAACGTAACAGCTCCTATTTATCCAGTAAACAAAACGCTGCTGTTTACTTGTTTGGGGATTTGGACTCCCGGTCCTCATCCCAGTACACGACAGTTCGACCGTCGATTTCGGTTTTGTCCACGGTGTGCTCACAGCAGAGTGGGAGCAGGGACGGCGACGTGCGCGTAAGTCAGTCCCTAGTGATGGGTAAACTTTTACAGCATCAATCGCATTCTCTCATCCTCCCCCACCTGTACCCGGTTTCGAGACAGAGTCAAGAAGACCGAAGGTGAGAAAGGGAGCAGGTGGCTGGAACGGGTTCGGAGCAGCCCCTAGGCGTGACGCCACACCCGGCTCGGATCCCACTGACTGAGTGTCATAGACGGAGCCATTACAGCCTAACTCTCAGTCCACCAGCCCGCCAATCCGCACACACACACTGGGCAGACCGTGAGGTCCGAGTCATCCCGCCCGTTGATAACCTTCTAGGCCACGGCTTCTAGACCACCGTGATAGCTCCAAACACATCCAGTTTTTTTATAGGGAGGAAAATGCGCTGAGACATCGACCTCACTCTCTTTCACTCCCAGGCACCAGTCAACCGTCCCAGACGGTTAGATGTCCGATGTCGGAAGTGGGCGTCCCAATGCATAATATATGATAACTAGCATAGTCCTCGTAGCGCATTCTCGTTTTACGTACCCTTCGTTCGGAAAGCGTGCGTGACCGCAGCACTATGAGGCTTGGTTTTATCGAATCAGTCTTTAAAAGTACTTGCGGTTTAGATTCTAAATTAAAAACTTGAATTAAGAGTGGAACAGGGGGATTACTACAATGAAAACTTCGAGGAAAGAGAAAAAGAAGGAGGAGGAGGAGGAGGAGGAGGAGGAGGAGGAGGAGGAGGAGGAGGAGGACAACACAAGAGGGCGGGGAACGAATGAAACGAGATGCAAGTAGAATCGTGACCAGGGAAGGGGCATAGTGGTTGAAAATACTCTGGTTTGAAGTGAGGCACAAACTTTGTGGCCGCTCACCAGCTGACTCTAGAGTCGCGAACGGTCCATGATTCAAGTCTGGAGATCACAAGGTATCTGTCTGACTTTTAAAATTCGACAAATAAAGTCCTCTAGGACTCAATCTGGTGAAGACCACATCATTTTCATCTGGTGTCTGATGGGCACTTGCAGGATAAAATTACCAGAAATTCAGCTACCCGCTCAAATTTTATGACAGAAATCAAATCTGCAGACGCTCTAAACCTAACTAGATCCTAAGGCAGAGTTAGACCTTGGCTTCGAAAGTCCGGTTAACTTAAGCCTTCATTTCTTTCTTAACAGTCAACGTTATTGCTCCTAAGGAAGTTATTCATGCTCGTCATTAAACTTGTGGCATTAGAGAACTGACATACAGTGCGTGACCGATCTCATGAAATGTTAGCCAAAATTCTGGAATGTGTTTCCGATTAGGAAGGATTACTTAAGTGGAGTTTTTATACTGATTATCATGCAGCACAACCCTATAACATTTCGCAATTGCCAGGATATCGGCTTTTGAATGCAGCTGTGTTTGGCCTCCTGCAGATACCGCACTCGATAAAAAATGACTACTTAAGTAGTATGCATTTTTCCCACTGACTTTCGATGGTCTAATAAATTCAAATATATTTTATAAAAAAGGCGCAGAAATACGCTTCCCTAGGCTCATTTGATAGAAAATCACATTGTCTTCGTATTTTATGCCCAAAGAAAGTGTATATTTAGGTTTTAAAAAAGATTCCCGATTTCCGAATAATTTTCAGCCCGATCTGCCATTGCATCAGCTTTTGGCAATTTCAGTCTACTATGTGCGTGCTTTCCCCGTAAAGAGAACCATATATTCCTCTATACCTTTAAGAAGATACCATATAGAGTTCATGAAATTTTTCAATGGATACGGACTGTGTTGTACATTTCATGAGGAGCATTAGTAAACGGGCATGTGCGGTCTTGCATGTATGGACATCGCACGGTCTTAAAAATCTCATGATTAGAAACTTTTTTAAACCAAACTACACACTTTCTTTGGGCATAAAATATAAAGACAATGTGCTTCCCCCCAAATGAGCAAAAGAAAGCATGTTTTGTGCATGTTTACTATAGGACATTTGAATTTATAAGACCATCGAAAATCAATAGGAAAAATGCATACTACGTAAGTAGCAATTTTTTACCGAGTGCAGATTCTGCAGGAGGTCAAAATGAAGTGCATTCAAAAACCGACATCCTGACAAGTCCGAAATGTTATAGGGTTGTGCTGCATGATAATCAGTATAAAAATCCCACTTAAGTAATCCTTTCTAATCAGAAACGCATTCCAGAATTTTAGCTAACACGCACTGTAGTCACGTAACTAGCAACTTGTCTCTTCTTTACCGTGTAGCTTTTCTAAAGTGTTTTCTCAGTCCGCAAGATGTTTTTCTGCGGGGCTTTAGAAGTAAAGTTGCATAAGCCATGCACCATCCTGACACCGATTTATCCCCATCCTCTTCTAATTTTAATGCAACATTTTTATAGGACCCTCTGATCTGGCTTTCCTCGGTGCGTTGAACCCGATCTACTTGAAGGGCGCTTATCTGGCCCACGGAATGCACCATTAATTATTTCTGATAGGAGGGGGTCTGGTTACTCCCATTCAATGTAGCCAGTGTGCTGAAGAGAGGACGGCTTCATTCCTCTTCCCCACTCCCCTCCACTCTTCCCAGCTCCCCTCCATCCGTTTCTCGACAGTCCTCATCACGCTTGTCAGCAAATCAGAAATATGTACGCGCACGCAAGCGTCTGCTGGGACGCACAGGAGGGGAGTGATTTGATGAACAGGGTGATGTCGACGCTGACAGTTCTGCCAGAACCCAGTTATGTCGGCCAGCAAGCTGGCAGACGCTGCCTGCGTACACCAGCTAACTTTGCCCTCCAACAGTTGCCTCCCTCCCAACACTCAGATTCCCAAGTGCTTTAGAATGACTTGCCCCCAATACAAACCAAAACACTCCCGTTCTAGTGGATGCATGGGAGGGGCGGGCCTTGACGGGAAGGCGTTTCGTTTTCAAGGAGGCTCCTCAATGCCGCTGGAGGCCGAAATGTATGACTCAGACTTGGAAAGCAGATGCTGGCAGTTAGGCAACCTTGAATGCCTTTTCGGTCAAATTACCAGAAAACAGTTTGCCCTTATCTCTCATCATGTCAATGAGCCTTGTACTTACAGCCTTCCCTTACACATCCTCCCTCCTTCCTTCCAGGATCTCCTTCACAGAAGTCGAAGCGACTTTACTTCACCTGAGAAGAAGGAGGTCGGCGACCGTGGTAGAGCAGAAATACCGTGCCTTGCCCCTTGCCTTAGAGTGCGCTCTTAGAGCCACCTGCTCAGAAGTTCGGCTAACGGTGTCGCAACTTAGACGCCAGCAGTAATTTTAATGAAATTCTCGCAAAAATACCAATCCTGCTTTCTTTTATACCCATATACGTGGTTCTGAGAGTATTTTACTCGTTAGCTCCTGCTCTCCAGTTTATCCTACGCCTCAAGGGCTATCAGTGAAGGAAATAATGACCTCGATCGGAAATTACCAATAGAAAAATTGACAAATTTGGGGAAAAAAAGTAAATTTTTCGAAGTACCAGAAACAGATGAGGCGAGCGATGTAGCTAATGTCCCTGACATACAGATGCTGCATTCTGACTGTTCGCGTCTCCAGGGTGTTTAATTTATCAGTGTTTGCATTTGACGCGTCAAAACAAAATTCAGATGCGATCCGCTGGCGTCCTGACATTTCCCATTCCGGTAGCGAAACTCATATTACAGCAAACGGAATGACTTGTTGTCTTTCTTGAGGCGTCTCGATAGCGTTGGACGTTGTCAGAACCCGCCGCAGTGCGCGATCAATTGACAAATCTGTAGATAGTTTTTCGCAGGATGCGCTTTCCGCTCTCTTTCAGTCCTCCACCCTTTTCCTCTTAGCCTCATCATCATCAATCCGCACGTTCAGTAATCCTTTGGCAATTCTCTCCACCATCGAGTTAACTGTCGGAGAAGATTAGGCTCAGGCTTCAATGATGACGATTATGGTTATAAGGCACGGATGTTAAGATAATGTAATAGAGCTGTGTTTTCCTCCATAATTGCTGGCGACGCACTCTGTCCGTTTGTCGGGATTGTGACGTGCTATTTCTATAACTGGGGTCCCAGGTAGCTGTTTTAACGTACTTAGACCAAAAATATTGTTGCATTCTTCACACAATCATTCCTGTGGTTTGGGGGGGGGGGAACAAAACCGCACTTACTTATTTACCACCCATTTAGGGCACTCCTAATTTCTACGATGGTAGGTGACATGAACCAACAAACGGTTGTGGACTCAGGAAAAATTCCTAATCAATCAGAAACCCGACGAAATCAATCTACCAAAACCCCCAACTGTTGATGGGCTAACTTCAGTTAAATCAAAACACAAAATAAATGTTAAGAGTATTATAATCTTGACTGGAAATACCAATTGTTTTAGGAAATGTAGGAATGCCGAAAACTCGAATACACTTATCAAAGAAATTAGCTTGGGCTTGGTTGTAGAGACTGTCTAAGCAACCGATTAAACACCATGTAAAATAACGTTTAGGAACCTCCATGATTTATGTTCGACAGAAATACTCTTCAATAATGAATATAATATGTAGCATGACAGCTGGTAAATTGTTTGTTGTTTGACTACGGGGAAGAGTCGCTTATCTGACGCCGGTAGGACAACGGACTAGGAACGTCCCATGATGCAGGTGGCTTTGGGCCAAATTCTAGTGAACTCATAATTGGGACTACGTTTGGGGTTAGGATTAGACTTGGAGTAAAATGACGGCTGGGGTTAAAATTAGGGTTACGGTCAGGGTTAAGGTTGGACACGAGAATAGGCAGCCCTCCTGGAATTTAGCGCAAGTCCACCTGTAAAACGGAAGGAGGTGTCCCTACCTCTTTGTACTGCTGCGGCCATATAAGAAATCTCTACCAATTATGGGTTTCGAAAAATCGTCACAAGAATTCTTTATCAGTTTTCCCGTTTCGCGCAGTTCAAAATGCACTTGAGTACTCCAAAGGGGCTGTAGTTTGATTTCGCAGACAGGGACCTCATGGAAATAGACGCTTTCACAGGGCCGCATATCAGAAGGTCGGTCATTAGACAAGAAATCAAAATATAATTAGTGCATGAAGTCATAAGCATACCATTTTCTGTGTAAAAGAAGAACTTTCCCGTAAAATTACCATGTGTTTTCTAAAAAATCCGGAGTCCATTGAGTTTCCTGGCGTCCTTAAAAGGACAGTGGATATGTTCCAGACTCCAGTGTTCACGAACGGTTACAAGGAATTATGGGTTCTGATTTGGTGTTTATGTAAATCATAAAATAGGGCAGTTTTCAAAAGTGTTTACTTAGGTAGCAAGTTGTTGGACGTTTATTTTTATGCAACTGAAGGTTTCAACTATATTTTCAGAATTACCGAAAATGCGAAAGAAAACTTTCAAAAAAAACAGATTTCCACAATGAAAACCTTGGTCGAATGAAGAATCTTTCTTAAAAACTAATCTCTCGAAATATTGCCTTACTTGAGTATTTTGCCGATCAGTGCCTGTTTTTCATCTCTTTCCAAGTCAACGTTAAATGCAAAGTGTAACATTCCGCTCAAGTAAGCACTTCCCTGGCGGAAACTGATACGTTTTCTGCCGAAAATGGCAAAACTACCTTTCCTTTTTTTATTGGAGCACTTTCGCCATTTCATTTGCACCATGGTTCCTTTCTAAGGTTACTAGTGTAATAAATATTGTTCAGAATGTTGAGGTTGTGTCGTCACGTGTTTAAGTTAAGCACTGAATGGAATTAAGCAGCACAAGAATATCTTACCACATGTCAAGCAAGCAAAATATCCGCTTGACGGTGGGCCACTTTTGGTCACTTACTGAGTATTTGCATATGCCTGAAAATTACGAATGAGTTAAAACAAAACAGTGGCTGCATCTTAGGGCATAAAAGTACAGTAAAAACCTCTTTTCTACTGTAAATAACGCTCTTCTGCACATTCTTCATTATCGAGTTTGAGCATCCTGAAAATAAAATTTCCAGATCGCGGTGATAGTTTTGCTAAATATCTAATGTCTTAGTGCTCCAAGACAGCTATTAACGTAGGTGACAATGATTTCTGCCCAAAATGCTAAGCTTTCTTCTTTGATAAAATAACTTGAGAATATATTATGTATGGAAGGAAAAGCTCCTTTGTGAAATTCACAACTACGAAGATGCCCCGAATTGATTGTTTAAATTTGCTTCATAGTATTTCATGCGTTATGTTACCTCCTGTTCAAGCAACAAAGCAGAGAATATTTCGATATTCGAAAGTTCTTCGGGGATGCATTTTTCAAAAGAAGACGGACGTTCGTGCCTAAGATGACGATTTACGCAAAGAATGCAACATATTCCACCAGCCTGTCAGTTGGTGTTCAATCAACCCTTGATACTTACGATCTGTCTGCGCATGATAGCTTTGATCCGGTGTGCAGCAAGGCGTTCGGCTGCCTCTGAGGCATCCTCAATATATGTCGGACCTTCCGTATATCGGCAGTGAGCCTTCTGCCAAGACCTTTCGGCACTGGTCACCTACTAGTTTGGTGATACAGAAATTCAGATTGTCATCTTGATTTAATTCCTCTCTCCTTAATTTTGGGGTGGGATTTGCTCGAGCACTATGTCTAACTTGTATGCTTTGAACTTGTTTAACCCATCTCATGGAGTACTCTGCTGACTATGTTCTGCACTGTGATCCAGCCAAACTCCGCCTGTTGTCCGTGAAATCTTCTGGATGTTTTCATCCGTAGTCCCCTTCTCGTGCTAGGTGGTCCCGAATGAGAATAGCGTAAAAATAGAACGCTCCAGACAGCTTTTTACCGTTTTTAGGATTAGGACAGTGTGTCTTAGCTTACTTAAAAACCGAAAATCGGGTTAGAAAATTTGCATTAGAAAACGGTCTGAAAACCTCGAATGATCTTTACAACTGTGTTCGCACAAAACATGGGTACTATTATCTGAAAAGTTTCGGTCCCTTTTCGCGTATAATGCCTTACTTAAATGTGGTTGCAATTTTAAATAGCGTGAAACACAGTCACAGGTCAACAAATATTTGGTAGGATGCTGGTGTTCGGATGGGCAGATTTTCAGCCAGCCGCACAAACCACACATGCGTGCGAATCATCTGTCATCTAGCGTGCAAAGTTTCCGCCAATTTAAGCTGTTTATGGGAAGCAGCTTTTAGTTTCTGGAAAGGACATATAGTAATCGCATTTCTATGTTCATTTCGCAACAACCCACGTCTTCTTTATGTCTAGAATATTTTTGCAGTTCCTGGGCTGTTGGGCCCCTAGCCTTTGCTGTGAATATGCCCTAGCTAACCTATTTAGTAGCCCTTGTGAATCGCTACTTATTGATGAGGCGTTTTCATGGGAGGGTAAACTTTCATCCAGATAATTGCTATTCCGGTTGCCAGAAGAGTTACTTTCTTTTTCCGTCATCTCAACTTTCCTTTAGAGAATCAAACGGTCGTTCCGTGTATGTTTGTGATCGCTGCTCGAAATGTAAATAAAATCGTTCAGGATCGTCAAAAACTTCCGTAGAACTGGAAAACTTCGAGTTACAGTGGCCCTAAAAGTTGCACGTCTGACTGGTTTATCTAATCTAACAATCTGCTGCCAATCGTTAGGAAGACTGAGAAACTTAAACTTGGCCTTTCTTGTTTCTTCTGCGTCATGAGTCTAGTCGAAATTGAAGACTAAATTCAAATAACCGCCTCGTAGGGAGCATCCATTAGGATGATCGATGAAGAGGTTAACTAATGAGTCATGAGAATTTGCATTAGAGATGTTTGGTGGTATCTGACTGCGAGTAAAAGTGAGTAGGACTATCTTCAAGGCTCAATAATCACTCATGGAATCGACCAAGGAGAGTGTGAACGTACTGGCCTTCGCGAGCACAAAAGTCCGCCATACTGGCGTAGAGTCGATGAAGGTCGAACAGAGGGTCATCAGCTGAGATGGGATGGCTTTGGAGGGAGATTAGCAAGTACTCTTTGGAACACCACCCAAATGGTTTGAAGAGGCCTAATCAGCTGCCATGACGTCTCTGGCGCCAAAAAGTGGCTCTGCAGCAAGTCTCCCTCAACTAACCGCTCCAGTTCTCAAACTAGGTTTCAAAACTTCAAGCAGGCATAGACAGCAGAAGTTAGTGGAACCAATAGATTTCGCGACGGCTTATCAATTGTAGCCAGTCGTTGCATAATACAGATAATAAGTGAGAAAGGTGTAGAGGCCTGAACTTCCGAGGTTGCGCTTTTCAAGTTATCATTTTATTAATTAGTCTACGTGTAGTATACGATAACCTTGCTGTTTTATACTGATTTTCTCTATGGAAGTTCAAACCCCTGTACCTTTCTCACTTGTTATCTGTGTTATGCAATGACGGGCTGCAGTTGATAAGCCGTCGCGACACCTATTGCTTCCAATAAATTCTGCTTTCTATGCCTGCTTTAAATTCATTCCGGGGAAATATTGCTTTAGGTCACAAAAGTTAGGAAGTTAGAACTTTGAAATTTCATGTATATCGTCAAGGCGACGACCAACTGTTCTTCTCTGACAGTTCTTACTATTTTTAAGAAACATCTGTTGTGTTTAGAAGCCTTTTGGCTGTTTCCGAGCCAATCCTCGTAACCTCTTTATCGATCATCCAAGGAGACACCCCACAGCCCATTTGTTTTAAATTCAGTCCCTATTCTGAATGCGTTAACTCGCAACGCGACAGACCTCAATATCTCACGCGAAGTGGGAGGGATCATATACGCCGAAGTCAGTGACCAATCCCATGAAAGTTTAACCGGAATTTCGGAATGCGTGTTCGATTGGGAAGGATTACCTTAGTTCGATTGTCATATTGATTATCCTATAACTTAGTCCTAAGACATCCCATTCACACCAGGATGCCAGTTTGCGAGGGCGCTTCTTTTCGGCAGCCTGCAAACACCACTTTCGGTAAAAAAAAACGACTGCTTAAGTAGCAGGAAATTTTCCAAATTTTTTCAATGCTCCTGCAAATTCAAGTGTGTTTTATAGTAAACATGTTCAAAAACATCTCTTTTGGTACTCACTGGATAGTAAATCACGTTTTTTGAAGTTTGTGCTCAAAGGAATCACACATTTTGATAAGGAAAAAGTTTTAATTCTCACATAATTTTGAGCCTGGTGTGGCGTTTCGCTTGTCTTTAAGGTTTAGAGTCTGTAATTTGTATCCTTTCCGTGTGAGGAGAATCCCGCATTCATCTATGCCATCTGCAAAAGATACCATAGAAGGAGCCCAAAATTTTGAAATCGATGCGAAATGTTTAGTATACGCTATATGGAGCATTTCTAAACGGACATGCACGATGCTGTCTGAATGGGCATTTCATGGGTTTCAGAAATTCCATAATTGCGAACCTCTTTAAAGTCGAAAAACACGTTTTCTGCGGGTAAAAAATTAAGTAAAAAGGGATTTACTTGCAAATGTGAACCAGGAAGGACACTTCTGAAAATAGATGAGAAAAAACTCATACAATTTAAGCAACTAATTTTTATTGACTGTGGGTTTGGCAAGCAGTCGAGAGGACGTGCATCCAAAAGCCGAAAGCCTGTCGTGATTGAAATATTTTAGACTAATACTTTGCGATAAACAAAATTTTGACCCCATTTGAGTATTCCTTCCTAATCAAAAATGCACCTCAGAATTTCTATTAGGATTTTGCCACTGACCGTACATTACTTTTCCTCCAAACTTAATATTGCGAGAATTCCCACTAAAGCATTCAGCAGATTATCTAGCGAGCGCGCGTTTTCCTTCGGCAAATTCTCAATTGGCCTATATATTTATAAGGTATCAGGGTCACTGAAAGATGTGAGCAGTTAGATAAATCCAATTATGTATATCATTTCACGCCAGCTGGTAAGGAATATGCGACAGTAAGTAGATACAGTCAGAATTATCTAACCAGGTCAGGATTGATAGTGTAGGGTTTAGAAGAGCATTGTCCGGGGGAGGTGGAAGAAGGCGCAGAAGATTGCACACAGTTAACAGGTTAAATAACTTTTCGCCACGTTAAGTACGAGACCTGCGCGAACTTTTCGTGTGTCCACAGGGCTGACTTAGGTAACCTGATTGCCGCTATTTCTATTCTTGCAAGTACACGCTGTCCTATTAGTCTTGGATAGTTCAGTGGGACCCTGCAAATCGCTCGGAAGACTTCACTGGGGTCCACGTGATGCGCAGGATCAATTATATGCACGAGAATGCAGCTGCCTGCGCTCCCGCTTTCGTCCAACCTCAGCCATACCGATAAGTGCTCGCACATTGTCTTCGATAGACGCCGACTCGTGCGACCAGTATGACCTGCACTGCATGAGCAAGATGAGGAGGAAATACATTTGGAGATGGTCTGAGCCGACAACCTATCATTGCCTTCTCTCTCTTTATGTCCTCAAGTAATGGGTTAACTGTTAGTGGTTTAGTCGTTAACGGCGTCAGACTAGCAAAACAGGGCCTAGATAAAATTGAGGGGAGCTACTGTCATCCACAAACCAACATAACGATGGTTTAATCAACACAATATATAAAAAGCGTAGTGATCTGTCAGTCTGGCATAATAACGGGGGAAATGGATAGGTGTCTCGTTTGAAAAATCTCATGGATGACCTATTAGATGATGTGCCTTTTTGCCAATTTTTTTTTATTAACGCAGGTCATTTTCGCCTATTGGTTTCTTCGATGAGTTGCATGGACTTGGTGGTCATCAAAGATGGGGAGTTAATGTCATCAACAGCTAAATGTTCTGTAAATATTTCCAGGAATACCTTTGGACTAAGTGACCTCGATGGGAAACGAGAGGATACAATAGTTTCACAATACTGCGCAACTAGTCAGAAAACCGGATGTATGCTCAATTTTTCTGCATTGGAAAACGGGACATTTTTACTCCTGTTGATTCAACAAACTCCACTACGACCAGCGCTACCTGCCGTTCTGACAAACAGACCTAATAAAGTAAAATTACCTTTTTGATTAACAGAAAAGTCAAATCTACATTTCAAAACCTCGCTCGACATTAACCTCTGAAAAGCCGTCAGGGCCGGCAAACATTTTCTGTAAGTTTACTTATTTTGGTAATATTTGTCCATCCTTATGCCATTATGTATCTCCTAGGGGTCAGAAAAAAGGGGAGTGATGATTCCGTTTAAGAAAAATTGCCGCCATGACAGCGAGAGCCCAGAAGTGGGATGCTGGGTACAAAGTAGCTCTTTGATGGTGTGGTGTAATCTCGAGGTCCACACCTTCCGACTAAGTTTACCGTGGCCGATCATAATGAAAATTGTCACTATCATATTTGTAAAAGTGTTATGCTTCTTCGAATTTAGTCCCTTAAATGAGCTCATTTATTCGCTGATGTTGTAGTGTTTAGATGCGGACTGGCTAATTCATTTTGTGTGTTCTGCATATGTGTAATTGTTCAGAGCATACCTTATACTCAAATGCGCTTTAATGTTTAATTATCAGTGGGATTGTGCTGCCTATGGAGCGTTTCGCAGTCCTAAACGCGGTCGAAATAATTTTTAAGCTCTTCATGCGTAACCACCATCTGTCTCATCCTAGCTCTCCCTTCCAGCTCTACCTCAAAACTAGATTTCACCCAAGAGAGCTTATGTTTTATGCGGCCAAGCTGTCAAGAGTATCCATTGCTGACTGTTTAGGATGTCAGGAAATCTGTTAAATTAACAAATTTTTTGGCCAGCTGAGTAGACTGTGACTGGCAATCGTTAATAAACTGCCAACCTTGACGGCCATCTTTGGAATAATTCTCTACCACTTGACCTTGTGATCGTAATGCATACACCGCATTCGATATGGAGGGGTTGAAACATTAGTCCTCCGCATTCCACAAGCAGGTTCCTGTAGTCAGATAATTGTGTGCTCTTCTGAAGAACAACAACTTTCTCGATAAAAACTACATGAGACCCATAACTACTTTCATACTTCCATATTCACTAATCTCAGGAAAAGTGGAACATAAAGCCTGCTTACCACAGAATAAAATGCACAATATGTTCTTCATTAGAGTGAAGGAAAGATGCCGATATATGCCGTGGAACACAGGGCAAACTCTAATGGACAGTTCTGACTAATTTGCCACCACCATGTTATTTACTCGTTGAGAAAATGGACGCGGGAATAATTTTGAACCCGCTCTATCGTCATACTTGGATTCAGAGTTTCCAAAGTACAAGCCGTATATTTTCCGCGTACGGAAAGCCACACATTTCTCCGCGGTAATAAAGGGGGACTATATAGGGTTAATAAAAGTAAGCAGTGGATTTGATCCACATTGTTAACTTTACAAGCCGCATTGGTAAATGCAGAGACATGACGTTTTACGAACGGCCACTTCACGGTGTTTAAAAGTCCCACAATCAGAAACTTTTTAAAGCCGAATTATGTCCCTCCTTCGAGTATAAAACTAGAAAAAGACTTAATTATCTACCGAATGAGAAAAAGAATGAATGTTTTTATGCATTTTTTCCATGAAAGATAACTGGACATTTAGGGGCATCAAAAATCAATGAGAAAAATTCATGCTACTTAAGTAATCATTTTTTACAAGGTGCAGTTTTTGCATACAGTCGGAAGGAAGTTCATTTGAAAGTTCATTGAAAGTCGGTAAATGACATATTATAGAAGTATGTTGCAGGCTGACTAGTTTTACAGCCCTACTTAATTAATCTTTTCGAAACGAAAACGCATTTCGGAATTTCGGTTGACATTTCATGAGTTAGCCCACCTACTGTAACTCCAGGCCCAATCTTAAACCCTCCCCCTTAAACTTAGCTTAAGGCCACCAGTAATAGGGGGATTCTTATTCCTGTGTCAAACCCCAAGCTCCTCTATGATTAGACCACAGGCTGACGCCGGCTAAGATGTGGCCCACAATATTCAAAATCACATGAGTTGCACTCATCGATCCGGCCTGACTGCAGGGTGGAAATGGACATTTCCGCTTCGCCTCCCCCCCCCCCGGTGCTGGTGGACCCACTGTCATGATGATCACCTCGGTGTGACCCTATTTCTTACTACAGACGACAGAACGCTGGCGCGTGCTTCAATGGTAAAGAGCCTGTCTCTAACGCTCAAATGTTTGGTCGTCATGTCATCCCGCACGGGGATTAGGGTTCAACGGCCTGACGACGTAAACAGGTTGGAAATAAGTATTGTGGTCACCTTGTCTTTATCAATGACATTTCTCGAACAGACACTGCTCGCCTCTGTGCGGTCGTGCTGAAGAATACGTTAGACTAGATGCCCAAGCAAAACAAATCACTTTGATTCTGTCCACTAAACAGGACAAATAGGTTTATCACAGATCCTCCCCTACCACACATGGGTGATTTCCACTTCCCACTAGAAGATTATGGGTTCATTAACGAAAAGCAGTTTGAATTATTTAGGCAAACCAGGATCGTTTCAGAGGATAAAAGTCGACAGATGTGGAAAATGTCCGTCGGCAAACTAGACAGGAAATTAGTTTGATCCGAAAGAGAATACAGAGTTTCTGCCTCGCAGAACCTTGTCTGCCAAAAGCGTAGAGGAGTCGCGGGTGTTTTGAAGGGGAAAATCGCATTAGTTGGATCTGAAAAAAATACAGCGAGGCGGTTCCACAAGTCATCTTGAAGACAGGCTCAAAAATGACTAAGTGAGTGAGCGCACAGCTGCCACCACCATACCTTCCTCTCCAGGAGCAGTAAGCAACTGACTCGCCTTTAAACAAAACTTCGTAAGAATGGATGCGACCAAAGGTATTTTCCCATGAAAATGTCTTGTGTGCCGGGCTCTTTTTTTCGTAGTCAACATTCTCACACGGAGAGACAAAACCTATAAATTCAAACGGCAAAAATGGTTTCGGATGATTCATGCAGACGTCAACTGTCAGTTTTTGACAATTTTCTACACGTATTCCTATTATTTACGACCCACGTCAGGTTCTCCTTTTATGTTTAATACCTCTTCTGTTGATCTAACTATTAAGTTGGAAGCTTTTCGGTGGTTATCTAAAAACAACTCCTAGGGTAAAATTTATTCCAATAAGGCTAACAAAATACAAACATCTTTAAATGCTAACCCTAATAATTATGCTGACATTCAGTAAAACCGAATATCCGTAAAGCCCAATACTCGGAAATAATGAACTCAACAAGGCACAAAAATTGGAGAGCAAGCGGGTTGTCGGAAATTCTCTGAAAATCGGGCAAAGGATGAGTCAAAGACGTGAAGCAATCTTCTGAATCTTTGATTTTGTTGGCTGGCTTTCTCAAATACTTTCTCTTCAATTACTGTTTTTGGTATGAACATCAAACGGAAGCAGCTGTTCTACAAATCGCACACTTATACAATATATCCAAATCATACACGCTTTCGGGTACTAAAGTAATCTATTTATTCTTTAAAGCCAATTTGTTAAAAAAAAACAACACTTGGTGCGCATGGAGGAATGTGCTAACAGGAATGAAGACGACTGTCTTACCTTGTCGCGCGTAAAACCCCACTTCGAATTCATACTTTTGTGAAAATTAAGCCAATGCGTCCTGCATGTTGCGCTTGTAGAGGTCCAACTATCTCGCAGAGACGTTTTCGGTCAATGTCCTAGCTCTTTGCATAAGTTGTTTCTGTTTTCCAACACGCACTTCGACGCTAGGAAGGACAGTGACGTAGTTCAAGACGGAACCTTTATGGCACTCCCACTACGTGGGATCCGAGTAGGGCGTTTGCGGCACGCCTGAGTGCGGCTTCGGCCGTGCCAGCCTCCAATCTCTGTTGTGTTGGTTGAAATCCTGGTTATTTGTTGTGTGGACCAGGGGGTGTAGAGTGGAGCTCCAAGGTGGGGCTAGACCGTGTCATCCACCTGCGCCCTCCCCCGTCTGCGGTCTTCTTGACTCTGTCTTGATACCGGATCCAGGTGGGGGAGGAAGAGATGCAGCGTAAGTCCACTCTCACTATAAATCCTGCGCAAGTCACTGTCCCTGCCCCACCCTGCTGTGGAGCATACGGTCGAAATCGTCGAAACCGACGGTCGAACTCTCATATGGTGCCCCTCAGGGGAGAGGCTGAGAGGTCCCAACAACGCAGTCATACATCCTGACCCAACTGTGAAAAACTCGGCGACCTCGGTGGGATTCGAACCCACGACAGCACGGTGTAGGCTTGAGCACAGCCAATGCTCCAGTCGCCTAAGCTGCAAGGCCCCGCCGGCGGCCACGAGTCACAATTCCATCAATGTCGCCGATTGTTTCACAGTTGGGTCAAAGAACATTATCCAGTAATTGTTCTCAGCTGTATCTGGTGCCTATGTCCAGTAGAAAAGCAAGGCAGAAAACTTCAAAAGGCCGAGTACGATTCATTTTTAGTGTGCTGTGTTGCCAAGATGGTAAAGTGGGGATGCTACTGTTGGCGAGACAAACAGACCTAGTTGGGATACTAATTCATCTAAGAGTGTTGTTTTTTGCTGTCAAAACAACGAGGAGGGGGGTGCGAGGCGGGAATTTCCACAAAACGGCCAGTAAGACTCACCAGAGCACTACCTACTAGCGAAGTCCTTACATTGATTGTTTCTTACTAAATTACAAATTTATTTCAATTGGACTGGATTACCGTCGGACCCTGAGTGGCAAAAATTGTGATTTATAACATGCCCTCTCGGTCAGAAAAACTAAAACATTCGCCATCCGTGAATTATTTTTGTTGGGCATCCGTATCACACCTCATTAGTGTACTTTCCACAAACATCTGTCGGCCATCTGGCACTTAAAATAGCAGGCGGGAAAAGGTCTGCATCTGCCAAAGAAACCTACAACGCATGTCCCAGAAGGAAACCCTTCCCGTCATCCGCGTTCTGCATAAACATCACGGCCGAGAAGCGATGTAGTATGAGGGATGCAGAAGAGAGGCCGCGATTTAGTGAGATCGAAAAGCGTGTTGCTATGTTCGCACATATCTTCCTCGTCCTGATCGTGGTTTTGCGCGCTAACTTCAAAAAACCCGATAGTGACACTGGATGTCTATAGAGTAAAAGCTAACTGATGCATCTACCTATATCAGGTTATGTGCTATTTTGCCTTCAATCACATTAAGGTGATCATCGTCTGGATAGAAAGAAACCACACTCAAGAAAGGGAGACCGAGGGATTACTCCTGATTGCCCTTTCATACGTGAGCCTCTGTGAGTATCAGTCCTATTCTTAGGAGCCGCCTACCCAAACTTCACTAACTACATTATTCTACTGTCTAATAAAAATACTGTTCCTAAACCCACGATTAAAAATGCAAATCACAACATGTCTTGCCATGGATTGGAGTAGTCACATGTTAAATAGACTGAGCGTTAATCATAGTTCGGCGTGGAAGGCCAGCATTCCGTGGCCCATAAAGGCACTTGACATGCCAATACGTGGCGTTAGCCAGGCTTTCTTATAATCCTACTGCACTCAAGGGCACCAGAGTTAAAAGTACCTCGACGTCCACCAACAGTATTGGAAGCCGCGCAGGAACTCCACCCCCCAAGGTCCGCTACTGAGTGTCATGTCCATGTGTTGGTTGAGATGTAAGCGCAAATCGGACATTAAAAGCAACCATGAAGGTGAGCACGTTAACGAGTGCAGACAACCGGTTACGAAAATTGAATAGCTTCCCACCTCTGCCTGCAATGTATTAGAACGTCTCATCTGTGTTCATTGGAATGACAACGACTGGCTGGCCGGTTGGCTGGAAGGTGGGGGCGGGGGAAGGACAACCGCAAAGAAATAGCACAGCGAAGCACGGCAGTCGGTCCTCACAATTTACTTGCCGGGTTACATGCATCCATGGAAACTCTGGCATTGCTGGCACACGAGTAATTTTAGCTTAAAAGGATACCATACTAGCAGCACAGGTACTAGCTAAAGGCCCATGCACGCCTGTTTCGCCGATATTCTGCCGCTGCATGACATAGATGCGAGGGGTTCGGCTCATCAGTGGACTCCCCAGCATTCCCTGTCTGTTTTCTGGTAGATACTCCAATTTATACTAATCTACTTCAAGTTCACAGCTGATTTGTGAAGAAATTAAAAAGCAACAACTTTTAAATTGGAGTATTTACCAGAAAACAGGCAGGGGATGCTGGGGGACCCACTGACGAACCGAACCCCTCGCAGCTGTGTCATGCAGCAACATAATATTCTCTAAACACACGTGTGTGTTTTTTTAACTAGTATCTGTGTTGCTAGTACGGTGTCCTGTTACCCTAAAATATACTACTAGCTGCCTGTCGGCAGTTAAGGAATATTACGCGTTTATTGCTTTGACTGATGGACTTCGGCCCAGATACTTATACATCAAATTTCGGTCTGCGCCTATAGACGCGGGTTGTTCTCTCGGCAGCTGCAAATCGTCTCTGCACTGTAGGAGTCCTGTCAATCAGGTCGCTTTAACCAACCGTCGTCCAGCCAGTCTAACGGAATACCAGGCGTTACGTTGCCACCCATGAACAAAATATCCCCAGGATTGAAATCCTAGAAAACAACCTCGGTATAAACAAAAAGCGAGTTTTCTTGGTGTTTTTCTCTTTCCGATAGTGAATTCGAGGAGAGGTTGAAAACTTCGGGTTAATGCTTTTTTGAGAAGCTAAAACACTTTTCCTCCTCCTCCTCCTCCTCCTCCCCATCACCATCATCATCATCATCATCATCACTATCACCATCGTCATCAGCACCACCGTGACCATCATCATTTACTTCCTCCCTATTTCGTCTTCTGAAAAGGTTGCAGTGCGATTTATGCGTGTTACCAGAGGCAGAGTGATTTTGGTGATCTCCTTCTGACGTAAGATAAGTAAATCTAGCCCCAGGTCAAAAGGGTAGGGTTGTCACGGCAAGAACTGTTAAAGTCCTTTGGGAACGGGCAATCGCGTGAAACTCCTGCCCACACTTACTTCGGTAAGCTTTAGCAATCCTCAGTTCATTAATACTAATCGTCTTCATTGAACATTGCACCATTCGAATTCAGAATGACGTCTGGGTTTACATGTAGCTGTTATGGTTAAGGCAACTCTTTCAAAGGTCTTTTGACTGAGTGAGGCTGTAGAACACCGACCCTTACACTAATTTTATGAGGCGTCCTTTTCCGCAGAAGTGAAGCGCCTGAGTCCATGATGGAGAACTTCATCCCCGTTAAAGATTATTACTGCAAACGGCCAATTTGGGACACACATCCTATGGTCTATGATTTGGTTGTGTAGTCATACTTGCTTTTTTATTTTTCAGTCATGAGTACTGTTAACAAAGGGACCCGGTTCAATGACGTGTAGCCACATAAGCTCGTTGAAAAAATCTTGACTATCGCAACCTTTGCAGGACCAACATGCAGTGGAATGGAATAGTCGGTTGTTTTTCTGGGAACATCGCTGAGTCAAGGTCGAATTTACCGTTAGGATTAACTTGTAGTCTTCTGGAATCAGAGTTCTAGACATACATTCACGTTCTCCGAATCTACTTCAATTCGGTCTGCTAAAAAGTCATTCGCGGAAGGGATTTAGTGCAGTTCTCATAGACTGACTGGACACAAGGGTTGCATCCGTCATTGAGCCATATGTATTACTGTATGCGATATGAGGCAAGCTCCAGTGGCCGGATGATTCCAGATGCTAATTTTCAATATGTCCCAGACGGAATGGATTTAAACCACTGATAGTAAGATAACTGGGGCGTACTGGTGACTGCCAGTCGCCGCGAAGTAGTCTGTCGCCTTACTAAATTTCTCGGGTAGCAACAAACGCCTCCCATTTATTTATGGCTCCGCTACAAAGGGTAATCCAGCGCGCAATCGTGATCACAAGTGGACATTTCCACCGGGATGCTAACCCCTGGCGCCTTGACTACTGGCTAGTAGCCTAAGTGACCAATAGGAACTCTCCTCGGATAATGGGTAAGACCCCATTGGCTGAAGTCGCTGCCATTGTTTATCTACCGTCTGGAAGCGAGAGCTGGCTGGTTTTCCTATGGAATTTTAGACTTCACGCGCGGTACTTCAGAGCAGGAGGCACTGTCTCCTGCTCTGGCTGGCATCCCTTGGAATAAATGCAGCAAAACAAAGTCTCGTGGGTGACTAGAGCGTTGCTCAAGGGGACTAGTATAACAGAGCAGTCGAAGTGATCATCCTGGCGGAAGATGTTTATCACAGCAGAAAAAAACTGGTGTTTTGAGTAATCACATGCACACTTGAGGATGTGTCCGGACTGCCGTGTAACCTTCCTAATTGAGTCTACTTACATGCTCGTCGTCGTCAGTTAAAATGCCCCCTCGCCCTTGTCTTGGGTAAACACTGAAATCAGTCAATGGGCTCAACCAATAAGGTTTCCAAGGTTAGATGTTATATCATGCATGACAGCGCATGTACTAGCTAAAAGCATAGACACTTGCTTCACTGATATTCTTCCGCTGCATGACAGCTGCGACGGGTTCTACTCACCACTCCCCCCCCCCGGACTTTTATACCCGTTGAGCATTGAAAAAGATGTCGAACACCTTACTGGAGAGCGGCATGAAGGCAGATTTACAGAATGGGTTCGCTTTTTAAGATACACATCGAGTAATTTTAGGCATATGCGTCATTTATCAAAGACCTAACTTTTCCTGAGACTGCTTAACCGTCATGCAAAGGCATATGATAATCTATACAGTAGGTGGCTAACTTATGAAATGTCAACTGAAATTCCGAAATGCGTTTTTGTTTCGAAAAGATTAATTAAGTAGCGTTGTAAAACTAATCAGCATGCAACACGGTCCTATGATAATTCAGTTAGCTCAGAATGTCGACATTCGAACGAACTTCCTTTCGGCTGCATGCAAAAACTACAATCTGCAAAAATGACTACTTAAATAGCACAGATTTTCTCATTGACTTTCAATGCCCTTAAAAACTCAATTATATTTCGCAGAAAACATGCATAAAATATTAATTTTTTGCTCATTCGGTAGAAAATTACGTCTTCTTCCAATCTTATACTCGAAGGAAGGGTATAATTCGGTTTTCAAAAACTTTTCAGATTCCGGAATAATTTTGAACCCGCTCTACCGTTACACCTGGATTCAGGGTCTCCAAACTACAAGCCGCATATTTTCCGCGTACGGAAAAGCACACATTTCTCTACAGTAATAAAGGGGGACCGCATAGGGTTCATAAAATTTAGCAGTGGATTTGATCCATACTGTTAACTTTACATGCTACATTGGTAAATGCGGAGATATGATGATTTATGAACGGCCATTTCACGGTATTTAAAAGTCCCACAATTAGAAACTTTTTAAAACCGAATTATGCCCTTCCTTCGAGTATAAGATTGGAAGAAGACGTAATTGTCTACCGAATGAGCAAAGGTATGAATATTTGTATGCATGCTTTCCATGAAATATAATTTGACGTTTAGGGGCATCGAAAATCAATGTGAAAAATTTATGCTGTTTAAGTAGTCCTTTTTTACAGAGTATAGTTTTTGCATGCAGCCGGAAGGAAGTTCTTTCGAGAGCCGGCACCCTGAGGTAACTGAAATATTATAGAATTACGTTGCAAGCTGATTAGTTTTACAACCTTACTTAATTAATCTTTTCGAAACGAAAACGCATTTCGGAATTTCGGTTGACATTTCATGAGTTAGCCCACTTATTGTATGTCTTGTCGATTAAGGAGTTAACTGGTAAAGCCTAAAAAGCAATATTTAGGTCGATTCCTTGGAAAAGTTGGCTGACAAAAGGTGTGGAAATAAATGAATAACAACCACACAGACAAAGCAAGGTTTTGGTTCCCTCGTACCACCGTTGCCTCGACTTGTCATTTATCTGTCAAGCTTTGCAAGTCGGGTTAATCGGTTCATACGGCTTTATTTGTTGCATTTTTGAGGCTTCTGATTAATGAACACAAAAGTAAGGGAACCACTGACTGCACAATTTGTCGGAGGCCCGTGTTCAGCCCCGCTCACTTTGCTTCTTTCCTTAGTCTTAATAAAATGTAGAAGCTTGTCTGTCGCTAGGGTCAAGAACCACCATTGGTTCAAAGGTGCATCGGTGCTTTGCACGGCGCCTCCTCACACTCCCGACCCACATTTACCGTGTTGCAATGGAAAAATAATGTCGGTCTAGGCGCACAAGGTGGCTTGATCGAATCCACTTTTGCGCCTACCACACTTGTTGTTTCATAAGGGCACCGGAATAGGATCTTCAGTAAAAGGGTCTCTGTCCTCGCATATGCTAGAATGTCACAATGGTCATATTTAGGAGGAATCTTTATAACATAACCCACGTGTTGAACAAGGCAGGGTGTCCCACCAACTGGAGACCGCTCAATTTGGATATTTATCGGATTTATTGAGGTAAGGGTAGTATGCGCCGACTCCGTGTCGAATCTGCCTCACTCAATTTTGTCTGTCTCATCTTGTATCAATGAAGACTCCCATCGGATGTGGTTGGATTCATGTCTGAGGGTGCCACGTACGTGCTGGTCACTGCATGCACATGAGACCCAACTTTGACGAATTCGGATCTCGTGGGGGCGTGAGATTCCACAATAATTACCTTAAGAACACATTACGTCCACGCAAATGGAGATGAGGATGTGCTTCGCCTAGAACATGGCAATGGACGCTGGCGTTGTTACTCGCTTTGGAAATTCCTTCTGAAATAGAGCCCAAAAAGGGTTGAATTTTAAACTCCCCTAGTCACTTTAACTGAAAAGGTCAACGAAAGACTGACTTTTAGCTGGCACTGACCTGTTGTCAGTGACCTTGCTTCAAGTACTCACCAATCAAATGTTCGAGAGTTAGGTGAACGACCCAACCCCAATAAAGGCCAACGCTGTTTCTAATCAGTGTGTCGTGAGAAAATGTAGAGGACTGGGACCATGAACCTCGCATTCTAGGAGTCTATAAAGGGGATCGCAAGCGTCTAAGATAGCAATCATTCTATAAAAGTAACTTATAAAGGTCTGGTCCGTCGGTCTGAAACGTTTTAGGTAAATTTCTAGGACTTAAAATTTGTTAATTTACACGCCTGAGGCGACAAATATGATTTCATTTAAGGTCAAATTTTTAAGTAGCAGACGTCCCCTTGCAAAGGCCAGAATCCCAGTGTTGGTAAACTGCTTAACACACTTCTGGATCTTAAAAACATTTGATTGACAGGCCGAGGATGGGTCCGATTCCCCACTTTTTGATAGAAGGTAAACGCGAACCAACCATCCGAAAAATTTTTCTCGTTTTGCTTTCGACTGTCCCATGGAATATTCCAAAGTGTATGTTTCATTATAAAGCAGGTTCCTCCGCCTCCTTAACGTAATGGCACCATTCTAATGCCTTGTTTTGACCGCCAACCTTCTGAACTGTTTCCGAGCGTTTATGTATAAAAAGACTTCTTGTCAGATTGGGAAGAAGGTGCTCCTTTGCTGATAAGAAGACCATTTTGGCAAATGTACGTTTTGGGCATTTCTCCACCGAGCCATTGCAATTAACGGGAGTGTTTTTAGCTCTTGTGGGTAGAGCGTAGACTCGCTTCCCACAGTTCCCGCACTCGACTCTGACGACCATGACATTAAATGAAATTATCATTTCGCGCAGCTTTCGTTTTCCCATTTCCCCCCCCCCCCCTAATCTTGTCCCCACCTTCCTCTAAACCTGCCCCCAGTATCTACCCATTCACTTTGCCTTCGTATATGATCCGTAAACATCCATGAGGAGTCGAGAATTACTACTTCATCAGTTAACTTATGAAATTGCAACGGTTTAATGGAGAATCCCCGAAGATGTCAGCTCACTGGAAATTCAGATTCCTATAAGTAATGGAACACAAGTTTTGCAGTTTGATCCATGTTCAGTTATAGAATATCTGCCGGGAAGTGATCCAGTATTTTATATGCCCGACTTCAGGTTGGGCGGATATCCGAGGTAGTTTGCCTCGTCGACCCCCTCTATTCACCCCGCCCTATGTCAAGAACAAACCTCTCATAGTGGATCAACATGGCTGCACTTAAAAGAGCGTTCGTTGGGAAAAGCACCTGCTTGGCCTACATACAAATCAACAACTCCTCACCACCTAAACAAGCCGCTCCTTTCGTCAATGAGAGTTCAAATCTTGCTCAGTGCTGAGCAACGTCTTCCCATTTGAGAGCCAATGCGGTTATCTGGAGATAGCTTACCCAGGAAGGTTTCTGCAGACCGCCTAAGACTGCGTTTCACGCATGCCAACTTCGTGGCTGCCCTGGAATGCGGTAGATTGTGGCGACTTCTTGCTCTCTCTCTTTCCGCGCCGTCGAGCATCACAGTGAGTGCTAAAAAACTTTGTGCCGACTGGAAGGGGTAGTTTTTCTACACGCTAACGTCGGAGCACAATTAGCTGAGGCATTGATTCATTAGAACGGCTCCAACATGGAGAGAGAGAAAAAAAATGCAGGGTGTGATTTTGGTCTCTCCGCTCAGGACTGTGTGAAAGTTTCGGCAGTAGGAATCTGCGCAGGTTTTGCCCGGAAGGCGCCAACATCCGGCGCCTAAAGCAGTGTGACAGCAAATGCAGGCCTTGGTGATTAGTTAGTTTCAAACAACTCTCTGGCCACAGCTGCGTTACATCAGAAACTCCATAGAATAGAAAGATACAGGAGAAGCTTTAAAAATTAAAACAATTACAAATAAGGGCGAGGAAAGGAACAGACTGAAGGAGGCAAGGAAATGCAGAGGGGAGGATAATAAATAGGATGGGAAAGACAAATACGAGGAAGGAGAAAATGAAAAGGGGAACGCAATGAGTGGATCAACAAACGGGAGTGGAAGAAAACACACGAAATGTGGGCGGGTGCGGGGGCTCGCACAGAGGGTGGCCGAATAATAACAATAAAACTAATAAGAAGAAGAAGAAGAAGAAGAAGAAGAAGAAGAAGAAGAAAAGGAAGAAGAATGGAAACAAACAAAGATCGAGAGATGTTTGAGAGGATGAAGAGGGAGAAGTTGAAAAGGACGCGAATAAAAATGCAAGCGTACGAACTACCTGCAGGAAGAGGATTCAACAGAGAGGAAAGCGTGCAAAAAGGGCGAAGCGGAGAGAAGAATTAAATGAAGAAGATGACGATGATGATGATGATGATGATGGTGGTGATGATGATGCTGATGACGACGACGATGATGATGATGATGAGGAGGAGGAGGAGGAGGAGGAGGAGGAGGATGAAAGTTTGATCGATATCGAACCCAACTCTACCGATATTTAAATTTAACTAAACGCTACAGACAATGGGGTTTCATGTACTGCACCGTATGGGGAGCGTTTAAATAAAGTATTGGCACCGTTCTGTCTGAGGTGTCCCGTTGGCCGAGTGGCTTAAGTGCAGCAAAAGAGACGCACGTTTCGTCGTAATGTGCTTTGATTAACATATTTTTGGGACGAAAATATTATCAAATCACAGGTAGGCAAAATAAAGTCAGTCCCACAACCGCAGTCTGTTTCCTTTAACACAGAGTCTGCTCCACGGTTAAAAGGCCCGCTGATTTCAACTGAATTCTAGCCAGTTTTGCGTGAGCAGATCTGACTTTTTCATGAGAGAGCAAAACCTAGCAATTTTTAGCGCGAACAAAGCTTTATCATAAAACTGTCCGATATGTTATCTAATAATAACAACGGTCAGAATATGGTCTTCTTATCTACACTGACAGCGTCTGCTCACGTCTGGATCAGAAATACGGCACATTTTATACATTAATTTGTGTTGCGGTAACAGCGTGTGTGACGACAACCCAGTAAGTAGTACACACCAACACAAATGTCCTGAAAATCCACGAGGTGAAATAATTTTCAACTTTTTTCAGATGTCTAAAAGAGTGAACCTGACGTAGAGTAAGCCGCAGTAGATAAATCGAACAAAACCCGAAGAGGTAGAAAATCATGACAAATAACAACATAACTCTCGAAAACCGACTCAAGGAGGAAGGAGTCTGGATGGAGAGGAGCTATCAACCCTAGGCGAGAAGACCCGTAAGTATGTGAGAAACATTAATATACGCACACCTATGAAGGATTTCACCCTAGAGTTCCCTAAAACTACATTTCATATGTAGTTCGTTGCTATCTGCTCATCAGGGGTTTTGCCGAACACTGTCGCGGACGAAGTACAACAAGGAAAACGAATACATCAGACCGATTACTGCATCCCCTGGACAGATCAGTGGCACAGGGCAACATTCTTCACCGAGAAGAAAGTATATTTGAACTTTCCGGACGGCACGAAACCTCAATGATCTGATGAACGCACAAAGTTCAGTGCTTGCAGTCGGCTATGGTGGTAAGGCAGCAGTGTGAGGTTCTGAGAAGCCAGAAGGTAAACTGATGTTTTTCAGGGAGAACATGGCGTCCAGCCGCACATTCAGACGCTTCTGGCTTAACTACTGTCATTTTGAGCTCATATAGGGGTAAGCATGCGCCGACTGTAGCTTACCAGCGACCCAGTAGCTAATGAGAAACCAGACTGATACCGTGACCTGACCACCATTGAGCCTTCGTCCCAAGCTAATTGGGAACCCAAGGAGTCTCTTATCCGGGCGTTTATACTGCAAATTGTCAGTTGAAAAATAAAGCGAATGAAACCATCCAACAAGTGTAGAATGTTTCCAGTGAACCAGAACCTGAAAGTTTGACTTTTGACATGAGTGAAAAATTGTGTTGAAGTTTATTGAAGTGATATTAAAATCATAAATCACCTTAACTTCAAGCAGTGACAAGAAAGTGTGGATGTCTCCTATACGCTTGGGCACCATGTTATGACAATTTTTATTCTATGCTATTTCATTGAGCCATTTTGCGAGGAAACTTTGTTCTCACACTCTCGTGCCGAAAAGTGGACCAATTAACACGAAAATGATGGCTTTGTAACCGTGGGCAGACTGTGCGCATCTAAATAAGGTCTTTTGGTCAATGCCACGAGGTGTTCATACGCCGGCAGTTCGACATTATTCAGTCTGAATCTGTTGACGGAACATCCGCATCTAATTCCAACAGGAAGTGGGCTGATTGTGAGCGAATTGTGAACCTAGGCCTCTAACCTCTGTCTCCAAATCCAGAGCATTCCAACCAGTTACGGTGACTCCAATAGGCGGATACACCGACTTAAAATCATTAGGAAACTGTTTCTTTTTGATCCTGTTATTCTTACTCCTTCTTTGACTGGCCGAACTTTAACTCTGGCCAATTGCATAAATTCGGCTGAAAGGTGTAATACGGTCCTTATCAGAAAGCATATCCCGGACTCCATCGCAAGCGCCCGAGGTTAGCCCTAAAGCGACTATTTTCCTCAAAGTTGAGCCAAAATTAGGCCTGATCTAATTCGCGACCACCCATCGGGTGTATGATTCTGGAATTATCAAATGAGAGTTAAAAGTTTCACAAAACGAACGGCGCAAAATATGACAATTAAATAATAATCTCTAATGTCATGCTGCGAGAAACGGGAAAATTCTCACAGGTTGACTATGCAAAGTTTTCCATTGTAGTGAAGCACTTACCTCCGCAGTATGTCACGTCTTTTTAACAATAAACCATTTCGGCGGAATGCCATATCCGCGCCAAGCAGACTGCTAAGAAGGTGAGCTCGTTTTGGTTTCCATTCTGTGTCATTGAGCCACCGGTTTATAAGGTTGATCATTTGTCCGCAAAACTGCCGAAGAACAGAAACAGACCGTATGTATACCAAGAATTTACTTTGCCTATCAGGGACGCTGTTTCGCCTAATCAGTCTCGCAATCTTCACAAATGAGGAGTCAGTGAGGATAGTCGGCATTACAGGCAGGTGATGAAAGCCCTACTGACAATAAGTTCAATCCCGAGGTCAGCGTAGACCATGCAGGCGTCAAGGTTATGCTGATCAGCCAGTCGTGGAGAGCTCGCGAGCATGCATATAGTGTGCTGCGTTGGAAGTGTGTCCACCGATCGGATTACAGGACATGCTCGCCCAGTTGTCTCGGGGTCTAGTGTAGAGTAGTATGTTATTACCGACAAAGACAAGGGAGACTGGAATGGTCATTTCTGGCTTATTAGCCGTCGCCAGCCAGTCATACCCAACCCCGAAATGTGGAACACCCGAGGTTCGAACTCGCGACCTGTTATTTAGAAGTCCACGCCTCTAACCACTAGGCCACAAGTCCGTTGCACTGTCGATTTCGATCGGGAATACACAATGGTAGGGGACGCTCACCGATCGTTCTTACGGAGCTCACTAATTCCGTTGGGCCTTATGGACTCTCGCTCTCTCGAGCCCAACGAGCAGCCGCACAGCGGCGCAGTATGTCATTACCGTAGTGTAGAGTCCTTACAGGCTGTCGCAGAAAGACTAGTAATATATATGTAGAAGGACGCCGGTTCGGGGCTCAGGTGCAGTAAACCTGGGTTTGTGTAAGGCTGATTAAAAACACCTAAAAAGCTACAAATGGCCACTTCAGTCTCCCTTGTCTTTGTCGCCACCCTGCTGCTGCTGCTGCTGCTGCTGCTGCTGCTGCTGCTGCTGCTGCTGCTGCTGCTGCTGCTGCTGCTGCTGCTGCTGCTGCTGCTGCTGCTGCTGCTGCTGCTGCTGCTGCTGCTGCTGCTGCTGCTGCTGCTGCTGCTGCTGCTGCTGCTGCT